TGTTGGAATGTTTGATCCTCTCCGCTATACCTGGAACATATGTAGTGGATTTATATATTTTGATCTCATTATTGGACTTTTCTGAAGTGGTCCTGGTGTAAAAGTTTTGAATGAGCTTCCTAATTATGTACTAGGGGAACTCGTTCTGTTCCAAAATTTTGTGGATAATAGTTTTGTTCTTTCTATGAAAAATCGTATCGCTGATAGTGAAGGCCCTTCTTATGAAATTGGTAGCAGTACTTAAAATTGTTTTCTTCTCATGTTTTGAGTTGTTATTAATTAGTCTCCCTGACGACGTAGGTTTGGCATACCAGTCAATATTTAATTTGTTGTTCTTCCTAATTACTAGGGTGTCCAAATAGGGTAGTTGTCCATCTTTTTCTATTTCTATCGTAAATTGTATCGTCTTGTAGTAATTGTTTAATAGAGTAAGCATCTTGTCTTTATCTTCTGTTTTGATTACGCCAAACAGATCATCAACATATTTTGTTAGAAGACGCGGTTTATTTTTAGAATCTCCCACAAATTTGGCCAGTAAATCCTCCATTACGATATCTGCTATGACTGGTGATGCCGGTGACCCCATAGGCATTCCCGACCGTTGTTCATATATCTTTTTCATTATATTTGAAGTAGCGGATCTCTTTTATACAAAATTTCACCATACTTAAGAATAGTTCCTTTGGTAAATTTGTATATTCTTCAATGTCATTACACTTGGAACAATAATGTTTATAGCCAAATCCACCGGGATGCTAGGGAACAACGACACTAAACTTTCGTCATCATATATATAGGTATCCTTGATTTTTTTCTTGAATTCAATCGCGCCTCTTACATTATAGTCGGAAGATTTAGTTATATTTGGCAACATATTTGCACAGATTATAAGACGGGGAGTTAATGGACGAACAAATGGGTCTAAGGGGCATACCTTCTTTGTGTATTTTTGGCAAACCGTAGATTCTTATAGCTTGTCAGCTCACTGCAGGGATCGGGACACTATCCCGACATTGATAATGTTACCATTCTTCAAGAAGAAAAGAACTATAATAAACGCTTCATTTTGGAAATGTTGCACATAATGAACACCCCTAATGACAAGAGGATCAACTATAAAACGGACTCAGATAATTGTGCATATGTATATCGCAATTTGATTTTAAATTCACAACAATAATCCTCAACGTAGGTGTTCCATCCCCCTCTTCTACAATCAACTGGCGTTTCGTTTTCCAAACAGTCCTCCGAAGAACAACACAATGCTGTAATTGCATATGTACATATTTACGTCTTATTGTCCAATATTGCATGTATTGTTGTTTGTATGTTTTTTGTTTATAAGTACGGTATGGTTAATTTTTTTACTTCTTATGCTTATGTTCACTTGCCTAATATTCAATGTTCAGTGTATTGTTGTTGATACATAATTTTTGTTTACAATTACGGTATTCTCCATTTTTTTATTTTGTTATGCTTAGGCTCTTCTGCCCAAAAAAGTTCACTTACTTAAATTATAATTCTGTACTCCTAATCAGTCGACCGGTCACAACGAAGAGTGTAAGTTGTGTTTAACTTATATTTCACAATAATTTTACAGGTTAATAATAAGTCAATGTGTTTATGTATACTTATAGTCCTGAAGGTGACCTCAGATTGAGGTTGAAATATCGACATTAAAAATTATTGAACTTAAAACCTGTGTTTTATGTTTTCTCTGGGCCTCGAGCTTATCAAATAAAAATTACGTTAGTTTACAATTTAAAGGCCGATAAACAAAAACAAACATAAAGACATAAAATCATCTGATGAATTTAGTTCTGTAGCTGAAGAGTTTTAGATCTTTACACTTAACATACTCCTGCCTATCGTGACTCGGCGCGAAAAAATGAAAATATTGGTTCCGTACGTCATGCGGACTGCGCCTCTCGTGCGGATGGGCAGGAATGTAGGGTAAAAACCGTTGGGATTATTATTATTAACTCAAACGATCTCACATTGAACACTGTCCAAGCACATTGCTTGGAATAATTTCCGATCACACTTTTGCTTTTACGTTTTGATAAAGTTTCTTAAGCTATATTGTTTAAATCTCACCTCAGTGATGAAATTATATTGTTGGTCTGAACAGACAATGCGTGCAGAAAAGAGCACTAATAGTAGAACTCACAACAAGCTTTTCGGTCGTTGTGACTTTTGGCGTGCAAGCCGTAATATTAAAGGGTTCATTTCAAAACGTCAAAATACAAAGCATAAATCAGTTTCTTCTATTTCTAAACCTCAGCCGATTGTAATGCCAAACGTGCGCAACCACGGTTAAATGCTAAGTTTCAACTAGGTTGCCCAAGTTAGACTTAATCTTCTAGTGCGTTTTAGAAATAAAATAGACTGATGCTTTGTATTTTGACGTTTTGGAATTTACCCAAACTTATAGCTAAATAGAGCGCTGAAAGCCTTAAAAGCGCTGAACGCCTGAAAAGCTTGTTGTGGAGGTGGGATCAGTGGTTTGTGCCGCGGGAAGTGACTACTTAGGAATTCCAAGAGTTGTCTCCTATCCTACTTGCTTAATGAAGCAGCCCCTCGAAGCCTTCCCAGTCATTACTGAGTGCTAAAACTGGTCGTGTGCTAAGAAATACGTGACCTGAGTAATTTGTAAAAAAATCACCTGGTATTCCCATGTGATCTGTCACTTACGAGTATTTAAAGTAAAACCAGTTTGTTATCTTTACCAACATAATTTAGTTGAGATTTGCATTGCCTAGTTTAGAAGAACTTAGTTTGAAGGCTGTGAAGGCAATGCCCCTTAACCTATTTTCCATCATACCGAAGGCTGCTTACTATTCTTGGACATTGAGAACCACGTCTAGCTCTCTGCCCTGCCACTCTACACGACACCTACATCTTTTAAACCTTTAAGAGGCCTTAAGTTAGGTTTACAAGATTTTTAAAACATTCGAGGTATACTCCCCAAAATGTCAAAATACTCCCCAAAAATTACGTTTTTTACTTGAGCATGATTCGGGGTGTCGGCAATAAACTACTTTAGTAGACATATACAGCTTTGCAAATGCTTGTATTTACCAACGTGCCTTATGTCCGGTTTGATACCAGTTGCTTGAGGTGTAGCATACCTTTAAAGCACATACCTGCAGAATTATAATTATAATTTTATGAATATACAAATCCAGCTTAAATCCTGTTGTTTATTTCGTACATCTATCGATTTTTTAAAATACTGTATACTACATCTATGTATATCTGTGTATAGATATATGAAGATGTTCCTAGGCCTGGTTGAGGGAGAACAAAAACACTAACTGCTCTGCTGGTGTAAGTGCATACACACACATACACGTAAATAAATACCCTGCAAACAAATGCTCCCGAAATCTTTAAGAGTATCGGAAATTTGTTACGATTGTTTTAGGAATCTTTAAAGAAAAACATATGAAGCTGTTCACAATAACTAGTAAAGAAATTTCTGTACGATTTCCTCAAGAAAACTCTTAAAAAAATTTTGAAAACTTTCACTTACTCTGAAATCCTGGTATGCAGGACATACATATACATACGAATATGAATAGATAAATAAGCTATTGTTGACACAAGGAGTACATACCAACGGTAAATGTTGTTTTTGTATGATTGCTACAACCTGTAGTTATTGAATCATTTATTTAGACTTAATTCTACGCTACATGTTGTTGTTGTGTACAAATGTAGTATGTATTTATATATGTGCGTATGTGTGTGTACGTGGGTACACATGTATATTTTTTATTTACATGTTTTTGTTATCTAATTATTCGGGTGTACATCTTTCGTACATATGTACATATGTATGCACATACATATGTCATTTGTGATCTCTTTGCATATGTGCATATACTTTAGAACAGGCCTTCCCAAAGTGGGTGACGCGACACCCTGGGGTGCCGCGAGCGTATGCCTGGGGTGCCGCTAGTGGCTAGAGTATACTAGTGGTACGGGCAAATTCTTTAGACTTTCCATACACAACACAAGCGATGTGATCAAACTTCAACATGGCGGCCTGAAAATCAAAAAATTACCTTCATCGGCTTGTCAAACCCCATACACAACACAAATAGCTTGCAGCAAAATATCTGAAAACGTACCCTTTTCACAACCACTTTCGGTACTTTTGTAGACCTAATCCGCGTTTCATCCACTTTTCTTCCCGTTTTCGGATTAATTTTCGGATTTTTTGCTGGCTGGGCTGTTCTGCTAACAAGCTCAGCAGTTTCGCGCACGTGTATATATTACTTATTCTTTGGAACTTCACAATCACACTGTCAAAGAGCGAATCAACAGGATTTTAGAGGCAGTCTTCTCTTGTTAGTGAGGTACCCATTCGCAATTCAAATCGAAGAAGATCGAAGTACTTCAGACTTACGCCACTAGCGACCAAATTTTTAAAGCTATCGACAAATTTGTACAGAACAATGGTTTCAAATGGAGCAAGTGTGCGGCTATTTGCGGTGGTTGGAAAAATGAAAGGAGCGATGTCTAGGATGAAGCAAGAGGCAGGAGGTATTCCCTGGCGACTAGAAAGATGCCGTCACTAAATTTAAAACCCGTATTGGATGACGCTGCGAAGAAGCACGTCGAGATTTTTTTATTGGTGACATGTACATTTTAGAATTTCTAGCAATTTGGAATCATTTATCACTTAAATTGCTTTCGTGAATTGGCTGTAAAAATTATTTTCATAGCGTTATTTTCTTCGCTGGTTATCGAAGATCGAACATTGAAAGCGAAATTATGAGCTATGCAACCGTGTCGAAATTGGCGTTGAGTATCGAATTTTCTGTCGAAAAGAATTTTGCTTTCGATGGTGTAGCGAAGTGTTAGAAAATTCTGAAAAACTTATGATTTGCATTTGTTTTTTTACTTTACGGCGGCTAGACACTAATTTTAAAAATTTTTTATTAATTCGAAAGACCACTTAACCCTCTTAAACATTTTCTACTCCTGGCCAGTTTNATGAGTATCGAATTTGCTGTCGAAAAGAATTTTGCTTTCGATGGTGTAGCGAAGTGTTAGAAAATTCTGAAAAACTTATGATTTGCATTTGTTTTTTTACTTTACGGCGGCTAGACACTAATTTTAAAAATTTTTTATTAATTCGAAAGACCACTTAACCCTCTTAAACATTTTCTACTCCTGGCCAGTTNTTACTTATACGTATGCTGAAATAATGAATCGTGGAAGTTTTTAGTAACTAATACTATTAGTTTATAGAAACTTTTCCATACGAAAAATTTAATACTTGTAAAATTGTAAAAAAGTCGGCTGCTGTGGTGTAGAGGTAAGCAGTGCGTGCTTCCACTCCGCAACGCCTGGGTTCAAACTAGGGATGTTGCGAATGTGGAATTTTAGACATCTGCGGATGCGCATGCGGATGCGAATATCTAACAGCTAACATCCGCGGATGTGGATGCGAATGCGGATGTTAAGTATTTTTAAACAACAATTAGAATCTAGCATAATGGCGAGATCGTTGTTCAAACAGCGCTTACAAGCCAAACTAGATGTGCCAGGTTTTTCTAAAGCTTTTTAAAAAGAATTCTTCATTCTCATTCCTTTGGCTGTTTCAGAATTTGGGGAATCTGTAACTTCATCAGCGTTTTTCGATTTTAGTTTTTGTAACTATTTTTTAATACTTTCTTCTGCGACTGGTTTGAACAATTTGTGCTTATAGCGAGCTAAATAGGTGGATATGGAAATAAATTAAATATTGTTTTCCAGGAGTGTAAATTTTGAACAAAATTCTNGAAAATCTCTCAGCGGTGAAAAATATACTATTGTAAACAACATAACCGAGCGAAATTCACAATAGCGCTATTCTTCATCGAATGAGCGTCNTCGGACCTATAGTTTTTTAATTATTTGTGCATCGATTCTCTTTATAGCCAGACGTTGATCATTTCTGCTGGAAATCCCAATTGAAGGAGCTTACTCTTTGACTTTAAATAGCAAAGAAGGGGCAGTTTTAATTNGGGCCTTACTTTTACATTTCTTTGTGAGACTACATTTTCAACAAATGCTTACATATACAAGTAATTTTTAAGCAAAAAAAAACCGATTTCAATTCCCTTCTAAGAATGTAAGATTATCGTTAATCTATTCATGATCCAATGATCGGATTTAAACCAAATTAAACCACCTGTCAGGTAACACCTTTCCTTTAAAAAAGAATTATAGTAATCGGTTAACGTGGTCCAAAGTTATGCGGTTCCGACGAATTGATAACCTTCTTTTTGTGAAGTCGGTTAAAAACAAATACACCAGCAAGCTTTCAGCGTCAAATGATTTCAGGCTAAAATTGTCAAAGCTCCCAATAAACTTAAAGGAAATAATGAAAACATCAAAACAATTTCAGTCATAAAGTTTGCATTGTGTTTTCTTGTGTTCGTAGACATTTGAAGAGTAGGGGTGCCGCGAAATTTTTTTAGCACAACAAGGGTGCCGAGTTGAAAAAGTTTGGGAATGCCTGCTTTAGAACAATGCTGGGCACACCAACACAGTCTCATTTTGTCGGGGTAATAGTGCGTCGCGCTCAGTTATGGTTGGCACGTTTTTATAAATGTACTAAACTGGTATTTTTGGTGCATGTGTCTTTTGCCCTATTTTACTTATACGTATGCTGAAATAATGAATCGTGGAAGTTTTTAGTAACTAATACTATTAGTTTATAGAAACTTTTCCATACGAAAAATTTAATACTTGTAAAATTGTAAAAAAGTCGGCTGCTGTGGTGTAGAGGTAAGCAGTGCGTGCTTCCACTCCGCAACGCCTGGGTTCAAACTAGGGATGTTGCGAATGTGGAATTTTAGACATCCGCGGATGCGCATGCGGATGCGAATATCTAACAGCTAACATCCGCGGATGTGGATGCGAATGCGGATGTTAAGTATTTTTAAACAACAATTAGAATCTAGCATAATGGCGAGATCGTTGTTCAAACAGCGCTTACAAGCCAAACTAGATGTGCCAGGTTTTTCTAAAGCTTTTTAAAAAGAATTCTTCATTCTCATTCCTTTGGCTGTTTCAGAATTTGGGGAATCTGTAACTTCATCAGCGTTTTTCGATTTTAGTTTTTGTAACTATTTTTTAATACTTTCTTCTGCGACTGGTTTGAACAATTTGTGCTTATAGCGAGCTAAATAGGTGGATATGGAAATAAATTAAATATTGTTTTCCAGGAGTGTAAATTTTGAACAAAATTCTGTTTTCAAAGTCGTAGCTGTCAGCGGAATCCGATCAGAATATTGTTATTAAAAAAAAAAAACACCCCGCTTTTTTATAAGCATTTGAATCTCAGATAGTTACATAATTCTTATCTTATTAAAGGTCGGACCTATAGTTTTTTAATTATTTGTGCATCGATTCTCTTTATAGCCAGACGTTGATCATTTCTGCTGGAAATCCCAATTGAAGGAGCTTACTCTTTGACTTTAAATAGCAAAGAAGGGGCAGTTTTAATTAATAATATATATTCCTACCAAAAAAATATTGCACGACAAGTAAACCAAATTACTGTTCTTTAAATTTTTACTAAAAATAAATTCACCAAAGATCACCATTTGAAATTATTGAAACGAATATATGTAACCTCAAAAGCAAATCACGAAAATTTGGTTAAAAATTACAGTGCACACTTTCTTCTTTTGTGTCTAACAGTTTTTTTTAAGATTGGCTCAAAAAAATCATAATAAAGAAAGGAACCAATGCAGGTATTTAAAGAAGAGAAAACAAAAAAATATTGTTAAAAAGGCTAGGTTCTCTTTGACGTACGTCAAAGGTCAAGTAGAAGTTGGAACATGTACGACTGCCCATTGATAGCTCGGTTATATAGCTTAAGAAATAATATGTTTTAAGATATTTTTATCAAAGTTGATAAATATGACATTTGACCAGTTTTGTTACACAAATACTCCCACGACCACAGGCAAAAATATTGACTATGTACAATTTGTCATTTTGTTTGCTATATATACGTTTTATCGGTGCACTTGCACAACATTCGCATTCGCAAAAGCTCCGCATTGATTATTGCGAATTTTAAAATTAATGCGGAAGCTCCGCGGTTGCGAATATTCGCAACAACCCTGGTTGAAACCCAGGTCAGAGCAACATCGCAAAAAATATAGAAAAAAGGGTTTTTCTTAACAGCGGTCGTCCCTCGGCAGGCAATGGCAAACCCCCGAGTGTATTTCTGCCATTAAAATACAATCGCCGTTCGGAGTCGGCGAAAAACTGTAGGTCCCTCCGCTTTGTGTGACAACATCAAGGCGCATGCCACAAAGCGGAGGAGAAGCTCGGCCAAACACTAACATATGTGTAAGTGCCAATCTATTATTATTCAAATTGTAAAAAATTTAAATACATTTAACATTTTTATTGGAATCTAATCTTTGAAATGCTGGCCGGTCAGATGATTTCGGTGTTTAGATTTTATTATTGTCATATAAATAGGAATTTAGTGCTAAAAATAGAATATAACTTACAAATATTATTCATTAAGTATTTTTGCGTACAAACCAGTATTTAAATTTCTATATCGACTTCTTTAGATAGAAACAAATTATTCTAAAATATGGCATGCAATTTGTGCACTTCTTTATAAAAATCATGGAACTTATTACAAAATATTGAACGTTGTTCAGCAAGCAGCTCATTTTATATATATTTTTTTAATTGACACGGCATGAAAAATACAGTTTGCTTATATTAAAAACTAGCAGAGCACCCGACGTCATTCGGGGTAAACAAATCAAAAAAAAAAAACAGTAATAAAAAGATTCAGTTCAGGAGACAAACTATTTTCTTTGTTTATATTAAGGCATCCTTGTGAGCCATACTTTTAGCTTTATCGTGCTATAATATCTACTGATCATCACTTGTACTACAAATCTTGTTATATTATTAATATTAGGTGGATTAAGGTAACGATCAAATTTCTAAATTAAAATTAGTCTACTACGATACATTCCGTTTAGCTGCCTATTCGATTAGCTGTTTTAGTATAACTGCACTTTTCTGGTAGAATGCTTAATTCGGAATGGGTTTTATTCATTATGAATGAACCTTTTTCGTTTAACAGCATCGCGGGATTAAAAAACGATTTAAACTTTCCATTTCAAAATAATCTAAAGACATTAAGGTTTAAAACACACACAGTTTTAAATAGCCGAGTTATATAATAGATGAATACATATATGTATATCCCCCTTTTACAAACTCATTTATATACACATATTTTACTTTGACTACCTCCCATAGATACCTATGTCTGCATACTAAATTTAAAGTTCGTGGGACTTATGGTTCCGAAGTTATGGCTGATAAAAATTCCACGCCTACGGGATGTACCACGCCCCTTTTATAAACTAACTCATATACACCTTACTATAAGAACCTACCATAGATATGTCTGCATACCAAATTTAAAGTTCGTGGGACTTATGGTTCCGAAGTTATGGCTGATAAAAAATTCCACGCCTATGGGATGTGCCACGCCCCCTTTTACAAACTCGTTTATATATACCCTCATCTCATACAAGCACCTACCATTGATATGTCTGCATGCCAAATTTCAAGTTCGTGCGACTTATGGTTCCGAAGTTATAGCTGATAAAAAATTCAACGCCTATGGGATGTGCCACGCCTCCTTTAACAAACTCGTTTATATATACCCTCGTAAAAGTGCCTACCATTGATATCTCTGCATACTAAATTTAAAGTTCGTGGGACTTATGGTTCCGAAGTTAGGGCTGATAAAAAATTCCACGCCTATGGGATGTGCCACGCCCCCTTTTACAAACTCGTTTATATATACCCTCATCTCATACAAGCACCTACCATTGATATGTCTGCATGCCAAATTTCAAGTTCGTGCGACTTATGGTTCCGAAGTTATAGCTGATAAAAAATTCAACGCCTATGGGATGTGCCACGCCCCCTTTAACAAACTCGTTTATATATACCCTCGTAAAAGCACCTACCAATGGTTTGTCTGCATACCAAATTTCAAGTTCGTGTGACTTATGGCTCCGAAGTTAT